GTGTTTGGTGAGAATTATCTTCGTTTCCCTTTCACAGCTGGTTCAGGCTCTCAGCATTTCCTGTGTGGATGGCTGATTGCCTTCATCTGTGTCCATCATGGAGCAAGAGAAATGAGTTTGTTTATTGAGTGATTACTGTGCCCCAGGAATTTTACATTTGTTCTCCCATTTAACTCTGAAAATACTCCTAAGATGTAGGTGTTATTTCTCCTTTACTAATAGAGAAAATAAAGTTTAGGAAATTAAGTAATATAATTGCTAGTGAATGGTGGAGGGGGATTTTGAACTCACATCTTCATTGCTTCCAAAGCCTGTGGATTTCTGCTGTGCTATGCATTTTCACAATGAGCAGGCTCATTGTCCTTACATGTCATCTTCATTGACTTGTTCCCTTTTTTAATAGCCTCTAACAAGTCCCTACTGCCATCCTATCAGTTGCAAAGGGGTCCTCCTGGCTTTGAAGGCCTTCTCTAAACTCCCCTATGGGAGTCGTTTCAGTTCTTCAAATTCCGTCCTCTGCGTGTGATGCCCTATATCAACTTTGTCATGGCATTTGTCTTCTGGAGAGCTCCTCCTTTCTTTGCCAGAGTATGTATTTCAGCGCCTTGTCAAGAAGTCTTCCCTTAGCTGACCCTGAGTTTTCCTCATGAGTGTGGGTGGTGCTTCAGTCTGACTGACTTGGTTCTCCAAAATTTACTTTGACTGACGCACTAGAAATAGTAAGATTTGGGTAGATTTTCCTTTCCCTGTTTTAAGAATAGTTATATTTCTAGCGTGTGTTTTCTCATGAGTTACGTAGTTGTGGTGCTAAAGTATTACTATTTCAAATGTGATGTTAGATGAAAAAACAGATGTTTCACCTTTTCTGTTTCCTTTTCTCCCAGATGAAATGTTGTATCAGTGTTCTAAAGGGCCAGCCTCCTAATAGTGTAGAAGGTCTTCTCAATGCTCTTAGGTATGTGTATATATGTGTACGTGAGGATCAAAAAGTATATGTAAGAAAGTAAGAATAGCACAAAGGAATGGATGTAACTCTTCAAGTTAGAAATGTGAAGATCTCGTTTTGCTTATTGGTAATTTTGCTTCAAATGTTGGTCACCATATTTTTATAGTGAAGTGTCTATCTGTGTATAATAAGAATAGCACTTTATTTCTTTTCTAAAGAGTATGATTTTTGCCTTCTGCCCCCCTTGAAGCAGAGGCTGCTTATTTACAATGCTAATGTAAATAAAATCCAGAAACATGAAAGTTTAAAGAGAAAGAAATTATGAAATGTCACTATTTTGAAATAAACCACGATTAACATTTTGGTAAATATCCTTCCAGACTGTTTTCTTTACTCTTGTATATAGTCACAGCTCTATAAGATATTTGTATTTTCTGAGCTTAGACTCAACTTGATTTAATTACTGAAGCTCCTGAGAATGCTGGGACATTTTTAAGTGAAAATCTTGGCACATTATAATGACTTGACTAATCTAATCTTTACCTAGTCTCTATCTTGTAGAGATTTAATTAGTAGTCAAATTTCCCAGACATTAAAGATGAATGTCTTGTTAGTTGGTTGTTTTTTGTGTTGAAACACAAAAATTATATGAACATAAGAATATTTCTATAGTGACTTTTTGAGGTCATACGTCATCTGTGCTTTTTTTCACTACAGTGCTTTGTAGTTCGCATACTAGATTTCCAAGAAACTACTGTATATTTGGCATCTAGAGGAGTCAAACACCTAGAAACAGAATGTAGGATGGTGGTTGCCAGGGCTAGGGGTGGGGAGGTGGGGGGAGAATGAGCAGTCCTCATTTAGTGGCCAGAGAGTTTAGGTTTTGCAAGATGAACAAATTCTGGAGATGGGTTGAAATTTGACAGTGAAGGCCTCACTGAGAAGTGACTTTTGAACTAAAACTTAAACTGAAACAAGGGGGGAGTGAACTCTGTAGCTATTCTGGGGAAAAGATTCCAGGTGGAGGAATTAGCAAGTGCTAAGACTGTAGAGGCAAAAATTCCTGGCATACAGGTAGAGTGAGTGAGCGAGTTTATTGGAAATCGAGGGCAAGTACGTGCAGACCATTGCTGATTATTGTATTGACTTTGTTTTCACTTGAAATGGGTTTGGCAGCTACTGCCAAGGTCATAAATCACCCATGAGACCTGATACGTCTATTGAAAAGATGTTTGTGTTTGCTGTGTGGGCAGCGGACACAGTAAGGCAGTAAGGGCAGGAGGAGGGAGGGGACTAGGTGAGGGCTCCAATAGCCCAAGGGAGAGTTGATGGTGATGGGGCAGGGTGTTGGAGCTGGAGGTGATGAAGAGCAATCAGATCCTGGTCTGTGCTGAAGGTAGAGCCAGCATCTACAAAAGAGCGCTGTGTCATGGCTTCTTAAGACCCTGACACTCAGGATGAATCAGGAAATTGCTATGTACCCATCAGAAGGCAGGGGAGACAGAGAAGCAGGAGTGAGGCAAGGAGGGGCAAGGCAGGGCCCAGGAGAAGAGGCCCCCATGGAAACCTGTGAACAAGGCTAAGGCAAAAAGATAACGAGTGGAGAGTTATCAAGAAAATAATATGTGCTGGGCAATGGCCACCCCCACCTCAATCTCCTTCTTGCTAATCCATGGTTATGTTTTACATACAGTGCATGTAAGATGGTATATTGAGACAGGATAGTAAGAGGCTAGGAAAATTCATGTGCAAGTGAAATGGGGAAACTGAGACAAGAAAATTAAAGAAGGCCAGACAATTTGAGCAATTTACAGCCAGCTGGTGAATTGCACTGAAGGCCTTATCTCCTCTGACCAAGAACATTGAGAGCACATGATCTAAACCACTCCTCCCTGGCCATAAACTTCAGGTGTCCTGCAAGAGAGGAATGATAAGGCAAACAGAGATAAAACAGGAGAGATAACAACTGAAAAAGGGAGCCAGTTTGGAAAGAGGCCAAATAAGTTGTTCCAACAATCATTCATTGGTGGCTGAGTCCACACTTCAGACTTGTTCTCTACGTGTCAGGATGTGTTTCCGGGAGACCTTTATCTACTCTGCTGTGGGTCATCCTCACAGCTATATAAGTGCTGGCTGATTTCAGTCTAGACACTTCAGCTGAGGACTAGAGAGGTAAGATTGCATGATCCAGAGCTCAGCGCCAGACCTGGTCTTCTGGAGGAGACAGGGGCCCCTCATATGTCTATTTTTCCAGGACATTGCACTGGAAATTGAGCCAGGGACCTGTTGGTAGAAAGAAAACACAGCGAGCAGACTTGTATCTCTCTGTTCTCTGGATTTTGTCTGAATCAGGCGGTCTGGAGATTGGAAGGAGCTCTCCTCATTGGAACCTTTCTCTGTAAGACAAAGCAATACACAATCTGGTAAGTTCTAACTGGAGATCAGGGGGTGGATAAGAAGAAAAGATATGATCAGGGATGGAAATGTTCAGAATGGGTTTGTGAAACGAATAGAGGTTTTTGGGGTTTGTTTCAGTGTGACATCTCCCCACCCCCAAAGTTAGCACTTCTTCCTAAAGTTCTCCCTAATAAAGAAGAATTCTGGGTAACAACATGCAACATGCAAGGCTAAGGAATGTATCTTTGATACATCCTTTGTTTTCACCCATCTTCAACCCCTCCCCTTAAGCAACTGTCAGCTCATTCTCTGTGTTTATGTGTGTGTTCTTTTTTCATTTATCTTCTTCTTCTTCTTTTTAGGCTGCACATATAAGTGAGAGCATATGGTATTTGTCTTTCTCTGTCAACTTTATTTCACTGAGCATAATAGCCTCTACATCCATGAACGTTGTTGCAAATGGCAAGACTTTATTCTTTCTGTGGCTGAGTTGTATTCTGTTGTATACACGTACCACATCTTCTTTATCTGCTCATCTATCGACGGACGTTGTCCGTCCTCAGAGCCATCAGCCATGCCAACCCGCCTCCTTGTTAGGGTGGGATGGAGGAGAAGCAGGCCTCTTCGACGTGTCCTGCACAGCTGGAGAATCCAGGTGCTCACCGGGTTCTCACTTTCCCCCCTGGGAGATGCCGGGGGCCAAGGGGTGAGCCTTGGCCTGAACTGGGTGCTGCCTCGGAGGAGGGGGACGGGGGCAAAGGACACCGCTCTGCTTGCCCTCTTCAGCGCACCTTTCCAGGAGGTGCCTGGAGCAGTACTGAGACCTCCCTGCTGGCCTCTGGGCTCCCACAGAGGTGCTCCTGGCCAGGGGGGGTGTCAAACCGGTGTTGCTGTGGAGGGCTGAGGGCTGAAAAGTCCACCTCTGCCCTCCGGCTGATACCGACAGCGTTTAAAAGCCCCATGGGAGTATTGTCCGGGTTGGTGGTGACTACCTCTACCAGGCCCCTGACACTTAGGAGAAACGGGGCAGGTCATAATTTTACAGTGAACCACGGTCCGCTGAGCACAACAAAGCAGGCTTCTGGGCTCTTCATTTAACCGTCGCATGCGCATCTTTGTGAAGGCTGCTCTTGCTCTACTTCAGTTACAGTAAGGATGTATAAAATCTTAAAAAACACGGGTTTTGCAGCACCAAACACAGGAAACTCACACAGACGTAAAAATCAGTCCTTGGCGGGGAGCGGGGGCGGGGGGCGGCTAACAATGGTACGATCTGGCTGGCTTGATCTGAACTGTAGTGGCCTAACAACGTGGGTACATTTAATTTCAGAAGGAAATTTCCCACCTTTTTGTCACTTTCAGTAAATTAAGGGAGGGCTCGTTGGTCCCTGACCTGGCAGGGACTCCAGGCTACGTGTGTCATCCCTGTTCACTAAAGATCGTCCTGCTGGAGAGTTGCCCAGGGAAGACCTAAGGCCCGTTCCGGCGACACAAGGGTCCTTGTATGTGCATGTTACGTCACTGTGTAGATGTGACAAAGGCCTATGAAATAGTCAAGTCACTGTCAACTCCCTCTGAATGATGATCGAAACTCATTTAATCTTACCTGTGAGACTCACCTGATCTTTCTGCTTCCCTTCTATCTGTTCCCAGCAACATGCCCTCCATTTTTGAGAGCACTGTTGAGACACTGGTCAAAGAGCTTGGAGACAAAGAACTCAGGCCCGTCAAGGGCATCATGGATGCCAACAGAATACATCGGTTTTCTCTAATACAGAAGAGGAAGGATAAGTCACTGTTTTGGAAACTGCCTGAAGTTCCACTGAACATCTCCCTCATGGACATTCTTGAGCCAGGTGTTCTGCCAGGTATTGTCAGCTAGGGGCACAGGAGGGAAGGACAGTGAAACAAGGGTGCAGAGAGAAGGGGTACAGCTTGCAAGACATGCTGGACACCCACAAAGGATCGGCGTCGGCTGTGGGCAAGGAGCAAGGGACTAGGAGTATCTGAGAAGTTCCTAAGTATGAACCCAGCTGCATTTAATACTGAGAGCAGCCTCCTGAGTGAGGAATATGATCCCCATTTTACATAACAGTGAATGAAAGCTTATAAAATCATTTGTTCCTAGTTACAAAGCAGGGAACTGGCAGAACTCGGACTCAAGGCCAAGTGTTTCTCTGTCCAAATCCCAAACATATTCTGCTGTGTGAGCTGCATCCGGGGGTTGATGCTGTGCCTGGAAAGATGATGTTGTGTATCTCCTGGGCCCGGGTGCAAGGGATGTCATCACTTCTTAGGGTCAGGACACCATCCCTGTTGTTCAGCCCCTGAGTGGATTCAGGCATTTGTCCTCAGGAGTAAGTTAAACTCCAAGTATTCCTTACTGATGAGTGAACTTCTTGGCAGAGAGATTTAATTGAGTAGGTGAGTTGGGGCAAGCTAGGACTCAGCCAGTTCTTTTCCATTCTGTTAGCCAGCTGTTCCAGAGTGAATTGCTGGCTAACCCTCAGGCCTCCTTGTCTATTTCCAGATGCTCCTGTGGAAAAGCTGGGCGACTTGGACATGAAAACTACATGGAAGCTTGATATGGGTGCAAGTGTGAATGCTGAGGCAGAGGCGAGCCTCTCGGGAGAGACTACTAAGCACCAAAAATTCTCCCTCCATTATAAGACTGTTAGCACCCCATTCAAAACCTGGAGAGACCTTCAGAAGAGGTGAGGCCCCAGGAGGGGAAGGGTCTGGTCAACAGCCCCCAAGCTCTGGAGGCACCAATAGATTTTTGTCCCTGAGGCTCAGAATGAAGACAATGACATCCCAGGCTCTGCTACTCTTCTTGGGGATGTGTACATTCATTCATTCATTCATTCATTCATTGAGCTACTGGGTGCCAGCTATCTGATAAGTATTTATTAAAGCTGCAATGGTCCATAATTAGGCCATTTTGTGGCGAGAAAAGCCTAATGACAAGACAGATAATAATCTCTGTCCTAAAATGGGACATGTTTAGCGGGGCAGGAGACAGGTAGTCAGCAAGAAAGTAAGCATTTTAAAAAAATAAGTTATCAAAACATTAATCGAAGTGAGACGAAGGCTCTGAAATGCTTTGTTTAAATAAAGTGTGTATGCCTCAGTGTCCTAGGGTTTAATTTAACTCGGTGCCAAGGGGGAGAAGACCAACCTTCAATGGTCCTCTATCAGGGGCGTCCCACCCGCGGCTCGTGGGCTGCATGCCGCCCAGGATGGCTAGGAATGCGGCCCAACACAACATTATAAATTTACTTAATACTTTATGAGATTTTTTTTGTGATTATGTGTTTAAAGGTCATGTAAAATAAATGTATGTGACAGCTCTTCTTCTAGTGAGGTCCAAAGATGCCAAAAGGTTGGATACCCCTGCGTCTAAGGGTTTAATAAGGAATTTAAATATTTCTGCCTTTTAGAAACAGATATTTCAATTTAAATCATATTTCTATGAATGAAAAATTACTAACATAAACAACTCGTTAAAAAGCACAGGCTAGTTAGAGAACAAAAGTTACTTTGACAGGCCAGGGTGCAATCTCTGTATTTCTGCTGCCTTGTAAGACTCTTATTAGAACTCACATTTCCAAAGACTGTTTACAGTGCAAAAGAGTATTTGGGTTTCTCTAGCTGCAGAAAAGGAAAAGAAAATTTTTTGTAGAAAATTCAGCAGTTTGAGGCTCCAAATTTAGGGATATGTCTTATTCTCTAGCACCACCACTAACAAAATAATCCTGACGTTAAAACTTGAAATGTGAAAAGGAAGGCAATTGGAGACTTAATAAATGGATGTGGGGCACATAAAATGTTTCACCCAGAGGCGGGTGCAGGTTGTGACGGAGCCCAGAGGTTAGTAGGAGTTTGTGAGGGAAGGGCTGGGTGGGGAGGGGGCTATTTAGGTCGCCCTGTGGAGCGAACGGTTGAACGCAGCCCTGAAGAACAGCAGAAGCAAAGAGCAGGAGGAAGGTGTCCAGGGGAGGCTTTGAAGCCCTGGGACAGGACAGCAGAGGACAGGGCAGGACAGAGCTTGTCATTTTTAGGAGCAGCGGGAAGTCAGTGAGGTGGGAGCTTAGCCAACCAGGATGAAGGTGACAAAATAAGGCTTGGGTGTAAGTAAATGTCAGACAACATAACCTCTGAGAGACACGGTCAGTGGTTTGGGTACCCCCAAGGGCCCTGAATTCCCGCCACAGGGCGGCGGGAAAATCCCCGCTGGAGGCTCATGGCCTCCCCCACTGGAAAGCCACGGGAGGGTCTCTCAGTATGGCACTGGGCTGCTCCCCAGGGCGCCGACCCCCCGTGGGGCCTTGGGAAGAGCCAGAGCGGAGTCTCAGACTGCGGTGGAGAGGAGCTCTGTCTTCGGCCCCTGTCCTGTCCCCTGCCCAGGCCTGTGTCTTCAGGCAGCCCTACCAGCCACCTACCCAGGACAGTTCACCTATAAACACCCCCATGTGCTGGTCAGAAAAACCACCAGACTCTCCCCTGCTTCATCCTCTTTACCTGTTTGCTGCCCATCCCGCTCCGCTGGCGCCTCCGGACAGTGGTGACTGTGGGCCCCAGCTTTGGCAGCGGGGCTTCCTCAGGACTCTCGCCGGCCACGCGCTCCATCTGCCTCCAGCCTCTCCGGGCAGAGGCCCTGGTACACTGGGCGTCCGTAAACCAGCCCCGAACAAGACCCCTGTGATTTGGGAAACGCGGATGCCTTTCACAAAACGGCAAGCGTGCTCTCCTTCCCACGCGCCCATCAAGAAGTGGGAGCCCCCCGCACCCCGCCCTGGCCCCAGCACAGCAAAGATGGTTTGCTTTCCTTGGTAACCTAACCCATGTGCCAATATCCTTCTACCCACGGAGGGACCCCCCTGTCAAAACCAAAGTCCCTGCAGCCCTTCCAGGTCCTGCGGGACGGTAGCCCAGGGTGACCCAGGAAGGCATCTCTTCCCACTCCAACCCTCTCCCTGCCCCACCCCCACCCCAGGAAAGTGATGGACCCAGAGCCATTGTTTCTGAAGAAGTGCCGGAAAAATGGGACGAAACTGTATGTTGTGTCGGACGTCGTAGAACTGCAGGAGTGTTCTGTGCTGAGGGATCTCAGCAGCACGGATGTCTCGGGGAAACTCTTCCTCTCTCTGAAGTCTTTTCTCAAGGTATGGGATGCGGTCGCCTATCAATAATATAGGATAATAGGTTTAATTATTCTGGTATTACACTTGCTTTGGGTATGGGAATGAATATGATACACCTAAAGGGGTAGCTGCCGCACTGTACACAGTCTAGTTTTACGATGACACCAAACCTCCCCAAATGCCATGGCATCCTGAGAAGGACTGATGGAGGGGTGAGCCTGAAATACCTTCGAGCACATGGGATTTATATCGCTCCCTCACTCGCTCACTGCCAGTAATCAACAATAGTACCTTTAACAAATTCATTTATTAAATAGTTTTTGTGTGCTTTTACACATTGCTTAGTTGATGTGTAATTGGACCTTGCTTAGAAGATTTAAACCCTTAAGGAAAAACACTAAATTGTGAACTAATTTCCCTACGGCTGTGATTGTTGAACCAAGTAAAACATTACTCCAGGTTAAGGGATATATTGGCATTGAGCTTTGGGTTTCCCTCTGCTTGGGTGGGTGAACTTGGCTTTCTGAGAACAGGGGGACAACCCCGAGCCATTGCACGGCGGCCAGCTGCCCCCTGGATGTCCGGGGCCCCTGTCACACCTGTTCACAGCCAGTGCAGCTCTGAAGGTTGGCCTTGGGCTGGGATGTTGTTACACGGTTTGCGTATCGCCCCCGGTTCTTGGCTGCAGCAACTTTGTTTTGGTCTATCAGGCAAAAGAGCAGTAAGGAAACAGAGGCCTTGCGGAGCATCATGTAGGCTAATTGAATTACATTTCATAACTGACATGTAAAACATGTTGCTGAGGAGCACACACATTCTACCCACACACCCACGGAACATTCACTTGCATAGCTTGCACAAGAGGCCACCCTATCAGTCTTGGCAAATTTCAGAAGACTGAAGTTATACCAGATATCTTTTCTGGCCACGATGGAGTGAAACTACAGATTACTAACAGAAGGAAACCTGACACATTCACAAACATAAGGACATTAAGTTACATACTCTAGAACCTTCATGGATCAAAGAATGTACCACAAGGGAGATCAGAAAATATCCAAGACAAATAAAAATGAAAACCCAATACTGTACTCTACACTTAAAAATGAATAAAGTATGATACTTTTTTTCTTACCACAATAGAAAGTAAATGAAAGAGCTATATAATAATAAACAAGTAAAAAAATTCAAATAAGATTATACTTTTTTGGTAGAACTGAAATCCATGATATTTTTATAGCAAGATGTGGAGTCTTGTATTATCAAATATCTTTTTGTCACGTTCCTGTTGAACAAGGTACAGATTCATTAAGCAAAAAAAAAAAAAAAAAAAAAAAAAAAAGAAACAACAGCAGCAAGAAATATCTGACTTCTTTCAATATCCTTTGACTTTTAATATGCTCTCTTTATCTTAAAATTTGAATTTATAGGTTTAAGATTTTTAAATTTATTTTTACTTATCTTGCTTGGAGTTTCTGAGCTTCCCGGATCTGTGGTGTTAATTTGGGGGGGAATCCTCAGTTATTAGTGCTTCAAATATTTTTTCTCTTTCTTTCCCTCTTTCTTCTCCTTATATTCTCATGACGCGTATGCTATAATTTCTGTAGTTGTCCCACTGTTCTTGGATATTATGCTCCATTTTCCCCCAGTCATTTCTCTCTTTGCTTCTTTGATTTGAGTGCAGAAGTCTTTCCTCACACGTATTTCCAGTATACTAATGACCCGATCAAAGACATTCTTTATTACTGTCATAGTACCTTTGATCTCTCTAGCACTTATTTTTTATTTTTTCTTTAGCATTTCCATCTCTCTGCTTATATTACTCATCTGTTCTTGCATTTTGTCTATGTTTTCCGTTAGATCTTTTAGCAAATTAATACCAGTGGCCTAAGATTCCCTGCTTAATAATTCCAGGATCCATGCTATACTTGAGCCGGATTCTCAGCTTGCTCTGTCTCTTCAGACTGTCTCTTCTGCCTTTGAATATGCCTTTTAATTTTTTTTGTTGAAAGTTGGACATGGTATGCGTGATAAAAGGAACTCTGGTAAATCAGCCTTTAATGATGTTGTGGTAAGATGTATGAGGAAGAAAGTATACTGCAGTTCCGCGAACTTAGGTCTTAGTTTATTTATTTATTTTAAATGAGCCTGTGCCCCGGCCTGTGAACTTATAAGAACTTCAGTGCTCTCTTCCCCTCAGGTGTGAGAGGACGTTTAGAGGGAGCGAGAGTTGGATATTTCCCTTGTCCTCCATGGAAGGCTAGAGGAGGCTGGAGTTGATAGTTCTCTATTATCAATTGCTTCAGCTCTTTTAAAGTGTAGGAAAACAAAACCCTCATTATCAAAAAGAGAAAATGACTAGATATACTGAATCAGAAAACCCCCCACAAATCATTGCACTATTAATAATAGTAGAGGGATATGCAGGTAAATATGGGATGAAGCGAGGAAAAAAGAGAAGAAACTAGAAATCAGGAGTAGGGAGGGTGAGGACAGGGGGCAGCTGATTGTGTGTCTCACGACCTTTCTACATGTATTTGATTTTAACACCACACGCATGTATGACGGTGTTACTATACCTGGTTTCTGTTCCCAGTTTGAAGGAAGGGGAGGGGCTGTCAGCGCGACAGAGACGCAGCATACTGTGCAGAAGGGCTCGGTGATGGCCTATAGGAGGGAGCAGCTGGTGTTCCAGAAGAACGGCTGGGGTAAGCAGAGGCTGAAGGAGGAGCGGGTGGGAGGCAGCGGGGGTCCGCTCCTCCTGGGAAGAGAGGCGAGGAGGGACAGAGGCCACCGGGAAACCGCGGCTCCCGCACCTGTTCAGAGAGGGAGCAGCATTCCTCAGCGTCCAGGGCCCACGCGTTCTCCGCACCCACGGCCCCTCCGCGCGGGGCCCAGCTGAACAGCTGCTCTGGGGAGGTAAAGAGACGGTGTCCTAGGCGGGGAGGGAGTGAAGGGGAGCCCAACGCCAAGGTGCCTTTAGCACCGGGCAAAGCGTGGTTCTGATCCCAAGCATCTCTCCATTGGAGGCCCCACCATTCTCAGCAGCGGACCTGCGGGAGCCACGGAGCCCTCCCGGGTTCCCCGTGACCCCACGGGGAAGCCCATTAGATACTGGCCCAATCGCGAACGAATCTGCAGACGTAGCGCTCTACCCACGCAGGGCAGACTTGTATCACATCTCTCCCTCCTCAGGAGCCTCAAAGTGCACACTGCCCCTACACACACACACGCTTGGGGTTCTGACTCCACGCAGGAGAAAAATTTTCATGAAGCAGCCACCACACAGCCAGCTCAGGGTCCTTGGACCCTCCCTGCCCAAATGCTGCGTCCCAGGTAGAGGTCAGCCGGATAGAGCTGGGGTCTGGCTCCTCCGAGGTCAGGAGGTGCCCTCGCCACACGTCGCACACACATTCCATTTCTCTCAGACACACTTGCATACACACACTGTTCCCTGAAGAAGCCTCCATGTAACGTCTGGTTGAGGGAGGGTCCTGCTGTCACTGACCTGCTGTCAGCGGCCATAGACAGAATGAGGGAGGACTCTCCAATCTTTAGGTTCCGTGGCTCAACTCAATCTTCAAAAGCATGTTGTGTTAAGTGTTGGCAAGGGTGAACTAGAAGGAATTGGGCTCAGAGGCTGACCTCTCGCAGTGCCCGCAGGTCATCTCCTCCCCACTAGGGGGCGCGTGGCACTTGCCTGTTCCTACAATTCTGGGCTAAGGGGGAACCGATGGCCCAGGGCAGCAAACGTTGCACTCCCAGGAAGTAATTTCATCCTCATAGCAAATCGGAGAGGAAAACAATGTGCAGAACTGTTCAATAATTCCACCATCGCGCTTGATATGTAACTCCGGGAAAACCAGAATTCCTCTGTCACCCATCTTATCTATGGATGGAAACGAGCCCTTCTCTCCGGAGCCGATGGAGATAAATGTCCGAGAGGGTGGCTGACCCAAAGTCATCTTCCCACTCTGCAGTTCACCTGCGCCTTCCGCTGACCTGACGGCAAGATCAGGTCTCTGTCATCTCAGAAACCCCTCACCCAAGTGTGCCCTCACAGCCAGCCTCCCTAAAGAGCCTTCTACACGCTGCTCCCCATCCCTGGCGCCCACCCCTCCACCCACGGAGGGTTGTCCTCCAGCGAACCCACTCCACGTGGTCACCAGTGACCACACACTCAGCCATTCCCTTCTTGCAGCCCCTTTCTCCCTGGATACTGCCACGCCATGAGCTATGGGGTCTTTTTAATGGGCTGTGTCCACTTGGTCTCCTTCCTTCACGGGCCCCTGTCCCCTGTCAAACACTTAAATTGGATTATTAGGCAAGTTTCCGAATTTTGAACATTTCCCTACGTGAAATGCGAAGCGGGCCCGGACGTGGGTAGGGCTCGGGCCGAGGACTTGTGGGGGGCACCTCCGGGGCGTCAGACTAAGGGCAGCAGGAAGGAAGCCCGTTCTGTTCCTGGTAAAGTGGGCGATGAGAGCGGATACCCATCACCCAGGTGCTTGTTGAGAACAGAGGCTCTAGCTTCCCCTTAAGAGGGCCAGACTCAGGAGGTGTGGAGGGAGGGCGGGGTCCTGAGTTTCCACACGCATCCCAGGTGATCCCAATGCCGGGGGTCCCCAGGCCGCCCAGAGAGCAGCTGCCACACCCGTCCTGGAGGGGACAGTGTGGGGGCTCAGTGCAGGGATGTGAGGGACTCTGCAGGGGTAACCCCGGCTCTGCTGACCTCGCGTTTCCCTTTCCAGAAATTCTTCCTGGCTCAGGTGATGAGGAGGAAACCTTCCCAGAGGGTGAGTTGTTGAGCAGGTTCTCTGCTTATTATACCTCAGGCCCCCGCTGAGCCCTTGACCCCCCTTGGACACTCTAAAAACCTGCTGGGGGCTCAGTCCCCAGATAAATCTTCCCCACCAGCCTCCTCTGCCATGTCCTCGTGTCCCCTGCTGTGACAAAGACACAGGCCCCTGGTCACAGGACAGCTGCCTGTCTCCTTGGAGGTCTGGAGTAGGAGTGTGTGTTTGTTGGGGGGAGCAGAGACCACGCTGTTGTAAGTGATCACTCCTTTTTATCCCCCAGAAATTGTCTTGAGGAGCGGCCTCATGGAGGAAACATCCAGGAGTTTAATACAAGGAAAATGTAATGTGGTCCCCTACGAGGCCCCGTTTTGCCAAACTGAAACCCCACGGGGCTTCCTTTACCATCCTCACCTGGGCGACTAGGTTCACGTTGGGTGGGAAAGGGCAGGTGGATGGAAACGTGGGTTGGGGAGCAGGAGGGAGAATGTAGAGAGAGGGAGAGTCTCCAGAGACTAACTCTTGGGTGGGGAATTCACTTTCCCTTCTAGGCAGCGAAGAAAGTTTCATCCCACAAATACGTGAGTGTGTGTTTGCTGGGGTCGGGGAGGGGTCCCGTCGCCCTCCTCTGGGGAGCAGGGCCGTGTGTCCCTGCCTTTTCCACGGTGGCCCTGGAGCCTGGCCGGGGTTCCTGTGGGGTGGGAGGGGTTGGGCAGTGTTAGGAACAGGGGGTGGCGGGGAGGGGGGTGGTGGGGGGGAAGGCTGGGGAAGGCTGAGGGATGGAGTGGGAAGAGGTTAAGCAAGAGGGTGGGGGCAGTAAGGGAAGGGACCTCGGTTTTATTTCTAAAGAACTTTGGGGGATGAGAAAGGGAGATGACCACTTGCTTTTCTCTTTCTAGAAAGAACACAGAAACTGCTCTTACTTGGTGAGTGTTAGTATACTAAGAGGGACTCTTAGGCCCGCTGGGTAGGAAATTGCCAAACTCAGAAACCAAATTGGAAGTTTCCTCCTCAGAAAACAGTTTTACTGCTAAATTTATGCTTTAGTCAACCCCACTATTCTCCACTCTTTCCCTCCCCTCTCCTCCCTTCCCTTCTCCCTCCCCTTCCCTTCCCCTTCCCTCCCCTCTCCCCTTCCCTCCCCTCTCCCCTTCCCTCCCCTCTCCCCTTCCCCTCCCCCTCCCCTTCTCCTCCCCTCCCCTCTCCTCCCCTACCTTTCTCTTCCCTTCCCCTTCCCTTCCTCCCTTCTTTCTCTCATGAGTGCAGGCAAGAAACGTTTGTGGATGGCTTCTTAGCTATTTTTCCAAGCATTGGGGCTTGGGCAGTGGACCAAACAGAAACCCTGCCTCCCTGACGCTTTTATTCTAGTGGCTTCTCACTCTCAGAAGCTCAGCTTGAGGCCACCTCAGGTGTCCTAGCAGAAGCAGAGAGCCCCCAACATCCACTCCTTGGTTAATTCTTTATTGGCCTAGAGGGTATGGGTACAGGTGCCATTGCATGTGGTACCAAGCATTTATAGCCATAACTTCATGTAGTTGTCCTGAGAGTCTCATTTTAGAGCCCGATGCTAGAATCTCTAGCGTTCTCTTCTCTGGAGTCTAATCTAGAATCCACATTATATCAGATGTGTCCCAGAAATGAGTACCTAGTCAGTTCCCTTCCAGAATCCTCTTCTCTCCTCCCTGCATTTACCCCATACCTCATTTCACCTGAGCTTTCCCATCTTTCTAGCCTGTTACGGCAGCTCCATCCCAGAGCTCAAAGATGCCACCTTCAGAGATGCTTGGGGTCAGCTGCTAAAAGGGGCAAAGCATTTTGCTTATGTTGATGGGAAAGGAATGCTCGAATCTCAGAACTGTCTTCATTTTCTGGTTGGCATTATTGTCCGAGGGCAGATTTTCCGCGCCTACAAGAGGAGGTTTATAGGAGAGAAATGGCAGCGGCCCAGCTCTCAAAGGCCATTAAGGACACTGTGTTCTCCAACCTCCTGGCCATGCTTGGGGACCGAGAGGCCCTTCAGGACCTCATGGACACGGTGAGGGGTCCCCCTGCTACCGAAGGTTGATCAAGCTTGTACACGGGCGATGGTTCAGAGATGTGACTGCCACGACGTGTGGGGAAGCGAAGAATGGGGGTAACTTTCGGGCTGGAAAAGGACGTCTGAGACTGGGGAGTGTGGCCCTGTGCCCAGGGAGCGGGCCCAGGGAGTGCAGCGCTCGCAGGTGTCCCCTGGGGCTGTGGGGACCCGTTACCCTGCTCCTTGGTTAATCACTTACAAACGCAGCACTTACAGGCAAGATTGCGTGGTATTGCTCTCCTCATTAACAACGCCTGTGTCCTGTAGCTTGAACAGGAACCCGTGGGGGGATTTGGATGGCCCTGGAGGCAGCATCCTAAACGAACTGCGACAGGACTCAAGCTACGCATGGAATGGCTCACAAGACGTCATCCTTTACCTGCTTGAAGCCATGATGGGTAAGAGTGATTTGGAGGACTATTGGGGGGGGGGTGACAGTGTTGGTCCCTCAGAGCCCGCACATGGCTGCATCCGATGCCACCCTCCAAGGCTCTTCGAATAGTATGGTGTTTCACCCTCACCTCACACGTGTCTCCAAGGTCAGGAGGGCTCGGTGTGAAAAACTTGCCACACGACACAGACCTAGAAAGCTCAGCCCAGGTTCAGCCAACACATCACTGAGGGTGGATGATTCCAGGCCCCCGTACAGCGCGCCACCCCCAGGGCCACGTTAGGGGGCAGCCTGAGGCCATGCCAAGGGCGGAGGGGGCCTTTCCAGGGCCGGGGACTTGACTCTCCCGTCTAAGGAGTCTTACTCCTCTGCCTAGAGGTTGCCTCCTAAGGGTCTCTTAGTTCACTGTGGGGAGAGGACTATCTGACCATTTCCCCAAATGTCCCCTGTGCCTAGTGCTGAGTGACATCCAACACCGTCTTCTGGCCCAGTCCATGGAGAAGCAGATCCTCTCCCAGCAGCGGGATCTGGTGAGAAATGTCCAGGGGCCAGTGTCCTGGGAACGGGGTGAGGGAACCAGAGATGAGAACGATTCTGAGGAAAGAGGGAAGAATCAGGTTCTGCTGGGAAGGGAGAGGAAGTCCCAGTGTGTTGGCGGGGAAACCTGGACTGCATCTCCCTCTGGGCGTGGGACCGTGGGCGTGAGTCCACCCGGGGAAGGTCTCATTTTCCTTGCACCGTTCTCAAATGTATGTATCCAAGGCTTGGGAGCTGAGGGTATCTGAGTTACACCTCTGCTTTCCTCACATGGTTACCATGTGCCAATTGTGCGCTCTCTGTCTCCATATGTGTATATATAAGTGCCTGTGTATGTATGACATATGCACATACATACACATGTTGCACACACGAGCACACACATATACTATTCCAAACACCGCTCTTCTGCAGGGTAAGTGTTAGCGTCACTAGCTAGCAGCTCAGGAACCGGTGCTCAAGGATTCCCAATCCCGCGTCCTTGGTCACGCCGAGCACAAGACAGGACCAGGACGTGCCTGCTAAGCTCCTGCCCTTGCAGTTTTCCTGCAGGACCCCTGGCTCTTGGGGCTGGAGGTTCTCTCTTCCTGACCTCCAAGGCTGGCCTGCCGCAGCTGATACTGTCTCTTTAAGGTGCGGAGCATCCTGGAGCCCAACTTCAAATACCCCTGGAGCATTCCCTTCACCCTGAAACCCGCGCTCCTCGCCCCGCTCCAGGCCGAGGGTGTGGCCATAACCTACGGGCTGCTGGATGAGTGCGGCCTGAAGATGGAGCTGAATAGCCCCAGGTCAGCCTGGGACCTGGGGGCCAAGAAGCCCCTGTGCGCCCTGTATGGGGCGCTGTCGGTGCTGCAGCAGCTGGCCCAGGCCTGAGCGCCGGGCGGGCGGGCCAGGGCTCAGTCCACCGCGTCAGCCCGTGCAGTCCTGGTCCTGCCTGCTGCCGCCAAGGCCTCCGAGCTGTTCCCTGCATCTACGTGTTTGTGGGGCTCCACACATAAATAATCATGTACTGACTTGGTCTTTGTCTGTTGGCCTTATTTCCCTGAGCACGGGACTCCCAGGCTTTCCCACGTTGTCACAAATGGCGGGCGACTCTGGCTGCTGGTGGGTGGATCGGCACGGGGTGCATGCGCGAGCGGAGGGAGATCATTGAGGGGTTTCTCTAATTGTCCAGGCACTCGGTGGTCTACTTTAAAAGCTAGGAGCTCGAAAGGTGCATATATTTTGTTTTTCTAGTTCAAAGAGATCCTAGGACTAGGTTGGGGATGCATATTCTATTGGTATGTACCAATATGCAGCATCACGTGTTTAATTGAATGACAGTGATTGGAGGTATTTTGTCATGAATTTCCAGCTTCTGTCAGAAGGTGGCAGCATTGTCACACAGCAGGAAGTTGGTGGTGCTGCCAGAGGCTTTGCTTTATTTGCTTAGGGCTTTGGAATTCAAGTCAGTCTCCTCTCTCCTGTCTCTGTTCTCTGGCCTCCCCTCCTCAGGTTCCTCCTCTTCCCCCTTTAGCTTCCTCCCTGATGCATTAACTTGGAATATGGGGCGATGGTGGAGGGGGTTGACACTGGCTTCTTTTTGTACCCTCTTGAATCTTCCTTTTCAACACTACATTGGTTGCATAATTGACCCCCTTAAAGAGCTCTGGGAGGTTTGCAGTTTGGCAGACCAGTCCTCATAGCCGGTGTTCAGTCAGCTGTGTTTGAATGAACTGAACTAAAGCAACAGGGATGCTAAGTTTAGATGACGTTGTACCTGCCATGGTGTACCTGCTACCGTGCACCTGCTACCATGTACCTGCTACCGTGCACCTGCTACCGTGCCCACCGAAGCCTCGAAAGCAGGTGTAAGGGGAGTGAGTCTTTGCTGTAGGCCTCTAAAGTCACTATTTCAATTTTCAGGTATTTGTAGGCAACTGAGCATATTTAAAAATGGCGCCTCCCTTTGGTAACTGGGACTCAGAGGCTAGATGCAGCTTTTCTTGCATATTTCACAGCCTGCAGCAAAGCACACATACGTTGGGTTTTTGTTTTTGTTTTTTTCGTTTTTTTCTTTTTTTAGCTAGGGCCCTTGCATTTGCAGACAGTGAGCCCTGAGTGAGCTGAGACTGGCTTGAAATCCACCCCAGCCTAGTTGCTACAGAGAGAACAAGACAGCGGTTTGCTGCCATTATTCACCTTCTCTTTTTCCTGTGGAGGTTTGTCGCTTCCCTAAAAATGACAGTCTCATAGGATCACGGAGAAAGGGAGTGGGGGCCCTGGGTTTGGGGAACGCTGGTGCTTTCTTCAGACTGGCAGAGGGCAGGAGCGAGTGCTCTCCACCCGCCCCAGGTGTGCTGGGAGCAGAGGCTGAAGGCGGTCTCCTGGCTTGGCCTATGTGAAGTCCTCGTCTGATGTGGCTTCAGGAGGACATCAAGAAAATCCCTGAGTGGGACCTAAGACCTCAGTCCCCATCTGCTTGGACTCCTCAGGCCCGGCCCTTCGTAGATTGCTCGTACTCTGGATACATCAAGGCTTCGTATTCCTTCGTCCCACTCAATAAGAGAAACCAATTACGCAAATTATAATGGCAATTTTGGGGGATAATTTCTAGTTGCTCCTTTTTAAATAATTATGCTGTCCATTGGGTCTTTGTTAAAGAGTCTCTTTCTTATTGGTGAATGATGCCCCTGTTTCTAGGTATCTATAACAGGCTGGGGACAAGTTGTTGTTAAATGAGTCGATACCCATTGTTCCAAGTGTACACAGGACACCAGGGGTCGGGAATACAGTGTGAATATTGTAATAAGCTGTCATCTCAAAAAAGGGGAAAGATGATTGTTATCTATTATATAACCAATCACCTGAAAACATGGCTTAAAATAGCATATGTTTGAGTTGCGTTACCCTGTCACTGGGGCTCTGGAGTTGGGAATGGCCTCCGCTGGGTGGTGCAGGCATGGGGCTCCCACCCCACGTGAAGGCAGTCTGACCTGGGCGGAGCCCGCGGTCGACCCCAGGCTGCCTTGCAGCTGGGGAGCATGTTCTGAGGACGGTTCTTTCCCATGGCTGCGGGCAGGGGGCCTGGGCTCCGGATCCAGCGTCCCCGGGCCAGGGCAGGTCGCTCCCCCCAGGGTGACTGATGAGAGAGAGGGACCTGGGGGTGGGGTGGGGAATGTTGAATGCCTTTTATGACCTAGTCACACAGCGAGTTCTGCCCTGTTGTATTTGTTAGAAGTCACCCCCAAGACCAACTCCCACTCAAGCTTCAGCTCTTGAACGGAGGAATACCAGAGAATCTGGGGACTTACATTAAAACCACTCTATAAATGTATGTCTTTGCTTTGCTTTTAAATTTTATTGACCAGAAGTTGGTAGGAACCTACCCCTGTGTTTCCTTTTATGATGAAAGAGAGAGAGAGAGAGAGAGAGAGATGGTGATAGGTTGCCTCCTGTGTGCACCCCTCAATGGGGACTGAACCTACAATCTAGGTATGTGCCCTGACTGAGAATCGAACCTGCGACCTTTTGGTGTATGGCATGGCGCTCCCACCGGCTGAGCCACACGGTCTAGGGCTATAGCTTTGTTTTATACATCTTCCAATGTCCCGGTTCCCTCAGGATGAAAAGCTCACACCAGCACTTATTCATTTGTTCATCCATTTGTTCATTCATTCATTTGTTGTCATGGGACAAATATGTATTGAGTGCCTGCTACTTGCCAGGAATCCTAGCATTGAAACATTCTTCCTTGTTTCTTCACTGGAACTCCAGAAAGAGTAAAAAAAGAGTACTTTTCAGCTTCCTTAAAAATTTGAAAAGCTATTTTCTAGAGTAACCAAGAAATAGATCACCCCACCAAGGTAAAGGTGCATTCTACCTACTCACAAACCAAGGGTGCCATTGTACTTGCTTCAAGTGTATTTTGGGTCCCTTTTTATTTTGGAAATTCATCTGCTTTTGTAATGGTTGCCTAGCAACCATAGCTTTGTTCAGTTCACACTGGGAGCATTGGAGCAGAGTTGCTTGAAAACATTAAAATCCACTGGGTTTCCCAAGCAGCAGAGAAACTGCTGGATGCTGAGCCCTGGTGGACACCTGGTGGCGTGGAGGGAGGGTAGGCATCCGGGTGGGAAGGCCGTGGGAGGAGCCGAGTCCGCTGGGGGTGGAGGGCCAGATGTGCATGCATGGCCCTCAATTTTCCTTATAGACCACCAACAATGGCACGATTCACATCCAGGAAAGGGTAACATTTGCTTTCACAATGCCCTTGACCTGCACTTCAGCGGCACGTGGTCGAAACAGAATGACATCGATATTAGAACATGGCTTGTTTTCGAGTAAGTCCCTCACAGCTGTGAGCACTCTACAGTGTCATGGCTAGAAGCTGTACAATTGGGGGATGTTGGCACATATGATCATTCAAATCCAGCTGCTTCCCAAAATTTGTCGCACCCAAAACAAGAAAATGTGATTAGGATCCTTTTTTACATGCTCTGAAATAAATTAAACCCAGGAAGCCCCTGCTGAGCACATGCCATGCACACAAAACTCTGGATTAGGTGCTATCAAAGTGCAAAAATTAATAATGTTTGGCCCTTCTCCTTCATTCAATGAAACAATATTTATTAAGGGTATGATTTGCCAGGTACTCGGCTAGACGCTGGGATATAGACATAAATAAAATAGGTACATTCCCAGTTCTCACAGTATTACCTTCAGTGGGGCTCGTGGTAATGGGGAAGAGAGAAACTGACGTGCCCTCTTGGGGAAGGAGAAGGGCAAATGGACTCTGATGGGTGGGGAGGATTTTGACAGCCACACAGGAACCCCAGAGCTACTTGAACCCTCATTTCCGAATGCTTGCTGTGAATACCATCCACGAAGTGTGCGTTCCTACCTAAGGGAATGACTTACAAGTCTCCCCAGACCGGGATGGGGGGTGCGGAGAGGTGGGCACTGGGCTACAGGAAAGAAAACAAAATCATAATTCCCCCCACCCCCCTTGCCACAGTGATTGTGTCATGAAAGCGTCACCTCCGTCCAAGATCCTCCCTCTCATTCAAGGAGGGCTCTGCAATTTCTCACTGTGCTTGCAAATCGCCATTCCGTGAACACTGCCAGCCCCGGGGTGGGGGAGTCACTGAAGGCTTGTGAACAGGGAAAGAAAGGATCCGAGGTGTCTCTAACATGAATTCACTTACAGGGACCAGAGTTAATAGAAGTAGAGTGAAATTGGAATTAAGGGACATAATTAAGAGTCATGCTGGACAGATGCTCTATCTATCTATCTATCTATCTATCTATCATCTGTCCACTTACCATCTATCTATTCATCTATCTTACTGAATGGCAGTCCTTCCTTATTTGGGGGTGGCAGCTCCTCAATGTTAATTTGGGGAACTATCCCTCTCACTCTTGGTCATTCTGGTTTGGGTGGGGCGGATCTAACCTCCACCCTGGGCTGGTGCCAGTGAACCAGGGCTGGCCAACAAAAGTGCACACAGCACACTGTTCTCAAACCACAATAATCATTTATAGAGTGCTTGTTGGAACCATGGGTGGGGTACCCTTTTGCCAGTGGGGTTGCATTTGGTAGGAGGTAAGCCCCCAGCCTTGTTTGATGTCATATGGATACAGCAGGGTTTAGACTGAGGCCAACTCTGAGGATCAGAGCAGAGATATAGGGAGCAATGTTTGGTAATGGCGAGGCCCCGGATCCAGCTCTGCCTGAAGTCCACTTTCACACTAGCCGGCAAATTATCTTTCTTATACTTATCTTTTTTTTTTTTTTTTTAATCAAAAGCATTTTAACTTGGGATTTTTGCCATTTTCACAAAAAGAACCCTTGCTACTCTGGCAGAGTATTTAATGCAGGTAACCAGTAGCAA